AGTATAAAGCGTCGTTTATAATAGGCCGTAACCGTTAACTTAGACCGGTGCCGTAAAAGTTAGAGCGGTTTATAATAGCCAGTACCGATGTTACGGCCACGGTATAATCACATAACTTTAAAGATCATTAGTCATATAAATAAATTTTAAATTTAATAAAAAGTATGGATTTATCCGAAATAGCAATGTGTGGAATGTGTGGAATTATCAATTCTGGGGCTAGCATATACTGAATATGCAGACGCACCGTTAAATAAAAAAATCAGGAACAAACGCCGTTGGAGTGTACGTCCAATAAATAAAAAAAGAAAAGATAAAGGACATTTTTATAATTTATTTAAAGACATGGCTACAGTGGATAATGAAGAAAAGTTCTTTTGCACTTGAATCCCTTGGTATTTTGCACTTTTCCATTCTTTTGTACTTTTTTCGTATTTTTCCGTGGCCGTAGGCCGGTAAAGATAAAGTTGAGTCAACTTTTAGTTACAGCTTTTCGGTTACAGTCAAAATCAACAGATTTTTGCCGGTTATTATAAATGGTAATACGGGTTTCCTATCTTCCAACTTTTACGGCACCGGTCTAAGTTAACGGTTACGGCCTATTATAAACGACGCTTTACATATATGGCTGCACCACAGTAATTTTTAAGCGACAGTTCAAAAGATCAAAATGAGTACTTGCTATATAAATATATACTGCCGTCCGAAGTTTCAGACAAAAAATAAAAAAAGCATTTTGAAGCTTGAAACTTATACTTTAGCATGCTTTTTTATTTTTTGTCTGTGATGATTTTTTTACCGAGTTACGGTGACCTGAATATTATGCAATTTTAAGTTTCATGTCCGGAAACTTTTCGACGGCAGTGTACGAGGTGTGATCAAAAAGTAAGGTGACTTTTTGAATTTCGCGCGCTCTGTACACTCTAATTTAAAAAATTTTTTTTTGTTGTGTTGGTACACTCGTCACGATCATATGTTCACAGTTTTGACTATATAGCATGTTTTGTTTTTATGTGAGAGGCATAAAGGTTAGACTCGTGTTTGCGTGCTCGGCGATTTTTTGCTTTTGAAAATAATGGAGCAGAGAGTTTGTATTAATTTTTGTGTAAAAAATGGTATTAAGTGTTCAAAAACTCTTGAAATGTTGACAGTGGCGTACGGTGAGTCAACTTTGAGCAAAAAAAATGTTTATAAATGGTATAAGTTATTCCAAGAGGGCCGAGAAAATGTTAACGATGAACCTCGCTCTGGACGCCCCAGCACGTCAAAAACCGACGAAAATGTTCAGGAAGTGAAAGAAATTGTGTTGAAAAATCGTCGAATCACGATTAGAGAAATAGTTGATGATCTTAACATATCGTTTGGCTCATGCCAATCAATTTTAACGGATGTTTTGGGTATGACACGTGTGTCAGCGAAATTCGTTCCAAAACTGCTTAATTTGGATCAGAAGCAGTGTCGCATGAACATCGCCCAAGACATGTTGAACGACGTCAATGATGATCCTGATCTGCTCAAAAGGGTTATAACTGGTGACGAAACATGGGTATATGGTTATGACGTCGAAACCAAAGCTCAATCATCCCAGTGGAAGAGCCCAGGAGAGCCAAGACCGAAAAAGGCACGCCAAGTTCGTTCGAATGTGAAGGTTTTGCTCACAGTTTTTTTTGATTACCATGGCGTTGTGCATCAAGAATTCCTACCACAAGGTCGTACGGTAAACAAGGAGTATTACCTTGAGGTTATGCGGCGTTTGCGTGAATCAATAAGAAAAAAACGTCCGGAAGTGTGGAAAGAAAATTCATGGATTCTGCACCATGATAATGCACCTGCGCACACGTCGTTACTAGTGAGTAGTTTTTTGGCCAAAAACAATACTATCATCATGCCTCAGCCACCGTATTCACCAGACTTGGCCCCCTGTGACTTTTTCCTCTTCCCAAAATTGAAAAGGCCCATGAAAGGACGAAGATTTGCGACGATTGAGGAGATTAAGGCTGCATCGCTGGAGGAGCTCAAGGCAATACCCAAAAGTGCATTTCAGAAGTGTTTTGACGACTGGAAAAAGCGCTGGCACAAGTGCATTGTATCAGAGGGGGATTATTTTGAAGGGGATAACATAATTTTGGATGAATAAATGAATATTTTTTTATAAAAATGAAAAGTCACCTTACTTTTTGATCACACCTCGTATATGTAAAAATTATCATCGAAAAGAAGAATTTACAGAAATATACATTATTTTTATCGCTTCTTAAAAGAGAAAGCATTAATGGAAAGAAGTTAGAAAATCAATTTTTATTATGGCAAAAGATAAAACCAAATTCAGTATATTATAATATAATATTACAATATTTTATATTGTAACAAACAAATATAATTAAAAATGAGTTAAAGAATAAAGACAGCATCTAATTCGAATAACTACGGCAACATGGAGATATATAGTGTCATGTTTTTATTGGCTTAGAAATGTATGCGCAAGAGCACACTTCAGTTTCTTCCATCATTGGTGCATTAGAGACACTATAATAAGAAAGACTGGCATAAGTTCTAGTTGGATAAAAAATGGCGTTCACAAGACGATAAGTCATAGAACGCGTTCACAACTAGGACAGAAAAGCAGAAAAAGTAGGATAGCAGAAGCCAATCAGAATTCGGGCTGTACTATCATCTATTACCAGCACGACTTTTGATTGGCTTCTGCCATTCCATATCCAGCCAATCAAAAATTAGCCCATCTATGCCAGTCTCTTATTATAGTCGCTAGGGTGCATTCGAGGAGCACGCTATCAGCGTCATTTGTTTGGTTTTCTCTGCTGAACGCAGCCAATAATGGCCGCAGCACAGACTCTTGCATAACGCATAATGCATAGTGCATAAGGGAATCGACCAATCGAAATTCTTCTTTTCCATGGAATGGAAGGAAAGGAAAGATTCTGATTAGTTGATTCGCTTATGCACTATGCGTTATGCGTTATGCAAGAGTCTGTGCTGCGGCCTTAAATCTGTTCGCGTTGCTTGCACTTTTTGCACTTAGCATCTTCGTTCTCTCTTTTCAACTGAATATATATTTATCCCGTTTTAAGTGCAAACAGTTTTGGGGATTTTAAGCAATGTGAACAAATCTCTAAAGCTCAATGTCCACGGATGCTAGAACTCGATCTAAGTTCTCGGATCGAGAAATGTGTAGCCAATCAGCTTACAGTTTTTACGGAAAACCGGCAAGTTGATTGGCTATATATTTCTCAATCTGAGAACTCGGACCAATTTCTAGCATCGTGGACATTGGGCTTTAAAAACATTATCACGTGATCGAATACGTTGGTACCACTGATCATTCAAAAACAGGTTCAGTTTCAGTAGAATGGTAGAAGGTAAGCGTGTTTGAGCCGTTATGGGTGTCACGTTCTCTTGAATTTCAGACTTTTCGAGCGAATTGCTCTGTTCTCATATTATTACTGTTGTATGTAGCAGAAATTTCCCAAGAAATTAAAATGAGCAATCAACGAAGACGTGCTCATAATTTTACAGATTCCTTAAATAGTTTTCGTAAGTATGATAATGTTTTCTTGCTTTATTGTGCTTATAGTCAGCATTTATAAATGAAATCTATTGTAGTTCTACACATAATGCTTATAATTATACCGTTTTGACTAAAAATTTTAGGCACTCATTTTTTTCATTCTTCTGGAATTCTTTTATTTACTTTGTTACTTATTGGATACTGGCATTATACACAAGTTTAAAGGGTTCTTGAAACAAAGGATATTTAACAGCAAATGCCATAAATTTTTATATAAAACTTTAAATAATAGTTAATAAAGTACCTAAGTAATATTTTTTATCAAGGCTATATATATTGTATGTATAATTAAATACTGTGTATGTACATATATGGTCTTTAATGCCTTTCTATTTTTATATAGTATTCCTAAGGTATACTTACATATTACATAAAAATGAGAGGAATAAATGATCACGTGTGTACATATCTACATCAAAAGAAAAATTTTCAGTAAAATAATTTATATATCTTTGTTTTCCAGCAAGGATAGTGTAACACAAGTGAGTCATTTCATCCTTGTTTGACATTGGCAAACAATAAAAGTATAATAAATCTGTTCTTTTTCCATATCTCAGGAATGAATTTTTTTGCAGCTTGTGTTTTGTCTTTTTCTCTCCAATGTAAAAAGAAAAAGAAGAAAGATGAATCGTGCAAAAGCTTCAGTCCTAGTGTACAGAAAAGAACAGACCTAACAATTCATCATGTTACACTGTATTCTTGCTGGTAAACATCAATATTTATGTAAAGTTATATTAGTTATTATAGTTTTATAATATGCTCAAATTTAAATGTATAAAGTTTTATGGGCATCTAAAATTTAGTAACACAAGTTGACACAATTGTTTTATCTTTCTTTGTACTTCATGGGTAATAAAGACAGATACTGTGTATCTGGGTATATATGGGTAATAAAGACAGATAGTATGTGTGTCGACTAGTTTGATATTAAATAGAAGGTACCCTATATAAATATTTATGTTTACAGGTCAAACAATAAGTAAGGATGAATCAAGTCAGGTACCAGGTGAATTTGACAAATATAGCTACTCGGAGAATACATCTTGTGTTGGATCTGTAATTCTAGCCGGTAGTTCAACCAATCAGCAATTTATTTCAGATTCGTGCAATATTGCTGAAGAAAGTTATAATATGACATATAAAAACAGGCATTCTCTGTTGAGGGATGATACATTGATTGTATCAGATGAAACATCACATTTGTTAATCAAACCAGACTTGAATAAATGTATAAATTTATTTAATAATGAATACTTGAATAATGAATACGATGGTGCTAAAAAACAATTAAGTCCTATACTAGTTGAAACTAATATCAGTCAAAACATTGATTTTTGCAATTTAAATAAATCCATAAGACAACTGGACCTTAATAATCGTCCACGTTCTATGTCAGCAGAGTCACTGAGAAATATAATACTTAATCAAGAACTTAAAAGATCAAAAAGTTACACAGTGCTTGATAAAGCTTTAAAGAGGGATAGGAATTACAATATTAAAGGTGACCAGCTTTTTTTTCCTAAGAATGCAGTGAAAAGAACAAGTCACAAGGAAATTGAAACAGTCGTTCCTTCTTTTGAGGCATTATCGTTATCAAAACATTCTGCTTTATTAAACAGAAAAGATGATTCTCCAAAAGAAAATCAGCATGATTCAGTAAACAGCGAAATGAGTTCCAAAGACGAACTCAGTCCTTTTGAGTTAAAAACATTGCTACAGTCATTGGCAGAGCAAAAGCCATTGAAAGAAACAGTTGTGCAACAACGTTTGCTGAGGCGTTTATCTGTAAATTATTATGATTCACCAAAAGTCTTTACGGAAAATTTACTAACGATAATTGAAGAGTCTGTTATAAATAACGATTCTCGTTCACGGTTACAACATCCAGAACTCAGTTTATTTAGATTTAACGAAGAACTTCGAAAAATGCGTAAATTTCTAGAGGACGAGACCGCTCCTGAATGGCCAGAGTCTCCTGGCATGTCAACACCAATTTGTGGGAAAAGAAAAAGCCAAGAGCCTAATCTCTTGCGAAAATCTCTTGCTTTATCTCCTGATAAAGACCTACATTTTACAACGCCTGTTTCTTCCAAATGTAATATTAAAAGCCCCAAGAAAGCGTGTTGGCGTATGTCAAAAAATACTTTCTATATTACGAAAAATTTATTAAACGATACAAATACGTTTGAAAGTTTAGAAGCAATGTGCAAAAAATTATTTCCTGATGATGCCTGTCTTATCCCAGGAAGGGAAAAAAATTTACAGTCTCCTTCACAAAATATGGCTAATATCTTGCGTACCTGTGAAAATCAAATGGCTTCTCTAGAGAACTCACCTATCGTTCGCAAGCAGATAAAAAAAGCTGGAACCTCAGACTTAGCATATCAGCACAATGAATTACCTGAAGCACAGAATCTGGAATATAGATTGTTACTAAGTGAAAAATACGACAGAATGGATTCGGACGGTGAAACAGAACATGATAAGCGTCAAGAAATGATCAAACCGAACGATTTTGAGAGTACGGTCATGTATGAGATTGCAAAAAAAAGACAGAGGTGCCTCGATACAGCAAAGATAGTGATGGAAATTGACGAAAATTTTAAGTCGACGGAAGAAATTCATCTGAATATCAATGATTCTTCATCGATTGAGGTCGACGATAAATTAATGACAACTCTCATGAGTGTAAAGAAGTATCAGGATTATTTGGAAAAGTACAAATCTTTGCTCAATTTATTGCATCGAACAAGTTTGAGCAGTTCTCATACTCCTTGTGACAGACAAGATGTCCAAGCAGAGAAAACACCCAACAAAGATTTCAATACTTGCGCGCTATCAGTCGTATTACAGGATAAGCAAACTTTACAAATACCGAAGCCTTCACCTAGAAAGAAGAGTATTAGTCCTTCGTCGAAAAAATGTTATTCGACTAATAAAACGGTTGTTTCAAAGCCACGATTATTTACAACTCCTGGAAAAACACTTGTTAACAAGAATTGTAAGCCGAAGCGCACGTACTTTCCCAATTTCCTGCCGGAAATGAATGTGCAAAACAAGCATGCAAGTCCTCAAGTGAAGAATATTTATCGACAAATAGGAAATTACGATCACGTAGTATCGCCGGTTGGAATGTACATAAAAGGCACAGAGTCTCATCTGATAAAAAATCTAAAACCTAAAACGGATAAAATATTACCTAAAAGAAAGTTGATCACGCAATCGCCTAATTCAAAAATAAAACTTCAATCTCCGAAAGAGGTAAATAGCAATAATGAATATATAAATATAACACGCAAGATCTTCTGCAATGTATTAGAAATTTACCTGGCTTTACATTATATTTCAGAAGCTGGTTGGGACAACAATAGGAGATGAAAATGTTACCGATAACTTTTTGCATCCAAAAATGCATTACAATTATTCATCACATTCACGTGTAGTACGTAATAATTCGTGTATCAAAAATTTAGTTAGCTAATTTTAAAATAACTAACTAAATATCATTAATTAATGATTTAAAAATTGTTTTTAGATAGAAAATACAGAAAATCTAAAAGTGGGAAATTGTGAAACCGAATGATTGCGCTGTACAAAAATAAAGATCTCATACGAAGGTAAAATTGTGTTTGTAAAATAACTACATTTGTGTTAATATTATATATATAATATATGTATATGTGACAGTCAAAGTGTTACAACTCAGTAAACGCATTCCTTTTACTGTAATTTGTTGTAGTCAGAGAGAGTGTATACATTTACTATATGTAAATGTATACACTGATTAGTAAGTGTATACATTAATTAGTAAGTGTATTTACTAAAGTTAACACTTTGACTATGATACATACATACATACATACATATATATATATACAGGGTGTCTCACAACTACCGCATTTCCTCTCAAGGACATATTTTTTAAATAATTTTGAGACGAAAATCCTAATACGAAACCTTGTGTATATATATATATATATACACACATAATTTGTGTGTGCGTGCGTGCGTGCGTGCATGCGTGTAGCCTTGGCCAAAAATGTTAGATATTACTTATTAATCATTATTTAAAGTTTTAGCTCAAAAATTGATTTATGGCATTTGCTGTAAATTATTTTGTTTCAAGAACCCTTTAAACTTATACGTAATACCGATAATCGCACTAAAAAACAATGTATTGAATTTTATTAATTATTTGTTTAAATAGTTCTAACGAATTTACTAAATATATAAACATATATTTATTTAAGTATAGTTTGTTATTTTAAATAAATGTTTATTTACTGTAAGTAAATATTTCATTAGTACAATTCAAATAATTATTTTATAAAATTCAGTAAATTTTTTTTCTAGTGCAATAGATAACAATGCAGATAAAAAATTCCAGATGAATGAAAAAATATAAGTGCTTAAAATTTTTGGCTAAGATGGTATATACAAAATAATAGATAAAAGTTTCTAGCCAGAAGAATTTTTTACGTTTTTTTTTTTTTTTTCAAAAATGAAGACTAGAGGAATTTTAAGCAGTATATTGTGTATAAGAATATGTAATTAAGAAAAATAATATACGAAATAAACACTATTTATATGTAAAATATAATATTATATAGTCAAAATTCTTTGTCCTTTATTTTTGAAAGAAAAGATAAAAATGCGATACACACGCACACATACCTATATATTTAAATTTAAATTTTGCATTACATTATTTCAGGAAGTACAAAATCAATCTAAACACATGGAGTAACCCGAAGTTCTTCAGAAGAAAACATCATCTATGACGCATGTTAATTTGTTTTTATATGAAAAAATTATAATTTTTTTATATATTCACTATCTAAGTTTTTAATAAAATGTGCAATTTGTAAATTATTCTTTTGGGTCACCAATTATTTTATATTTTTGTGTCGTAAAATCACTATTTTACTACGTACTATTTTGTTTCGTAAGATTAAGCAATCTTTCGAAACAGCTTGATCACAGATATAATTTTGCGACAAGTTGATTTTCTTCTTCCTGTGATATCGGAAATAATAGAAAAATTAGATCTCTTTTTTGAATTCAAACCTATGTCTTGAAATAGTATGCGATAAAATGGATATAATGAAGAAAAGTAACGTCAAAAGTCTACACATTTTCATTCTTATCTAATAGCAAATTTACTGACTTAATTCTCAAGTTTTATCAGCCTAATATTAACATTATATTGAGCATCATTACAATTGTAAAGAAGTTTGAGATAATATACACATCGCTAGACGAAGTGGACCTCGAATGTAAAATAAGAGCGAGAAGAAAACACGGAAGACTTTTTAGTGGGAATTATTGCGAACGAAGCTCGACAAGAACGATTTTACGAGAAACTTTGCTGTGGAAAAATGGTACAAAGATGACAAAAAGCTGAAAAAGCCCGATGGAAAGATTTCGAAGAGTGTAGAATTTATCAATTGCGCGGTTTTCAGAATTTAGAATGTGGAAAGTTCTCTCTTTCTCTTTCGTTATCGATGTGGCGTGCAAGGTGCAACAATACTACGTCGTTTCTTACAAGTCTTGTGATTGGTCTTTTATCAATAATGTGTCAACAGGGCCGTCGATCTTGAATCAATAATACCTTCGAGATCTGTGCCAATATCGCACTGAATTTTTAATTAGATAATCAGGAAGGAGAATACGTTGTACGAGGACATGTATTGTCGGCGTGATTTGAGCGCCCTTGATATGTCGGACTTGAAAACTTTTTTGATGTTATATAACGTGTTACTTCCTGATACACATACAATAGACATCGATCAAGCATGTAAAAATTTATAAATATCGTTCGTCAAATGAAGATCGCAAATAAGTTATTTTTTACAATCGCTTCTTTTATTAAGTATCCAAATTAATTCTATGTTAAATCTGGTTTACTCATACAAAATAATATTCAATTTGTGACTCTGTACGTTAAATAAAATTCATTAGAGACATAAAATAAAGTCATAAAAGTTAAAATATCCGAAGTTAGTATATCCTTCAATCTGCTGATTAAATTTATGATTCAATATCACTTTTCAATTTTTATATGTAAATCTTTTATGAATTGATTCGCATCGTATGATACTAACATTTTGAATTTTATTATTATTAATTTTGCATTTGATAAGAATGAATGTCTTTAATATTGTATTCAGAATTAAGACAAACGCGCGCATTAATTCAAATTAAATGTCTACAGGAAAGTAACAATATTGGGATTGAATAGAGATAACGTCTCTTTCTGCGTCATCCTAATCGGCAACCTGTTAGAAAAACTGGTCGTGTCACTGAAGTCACACGGCCCTGAGGAATTGCGCATGGCACGCATGTTGACGATTGCACACGCGGCGCGTTGCGCTCAGCGCTTGTCGAGCCGCTCGGAACCAAGCCCCCGACCATGGTGGGGAACGATCGATAAATTCGAAGTCACGTCGTCCTACCGGCGAGTAAGCATTCCGCTGCATTATCTGAAAGTTCAAGTCACGACTGTGAAGCGACAAGCCAAAACCCATCAAAATGCCGGGACCAGGATGCGATAAATGCAAGGGTGAGTGTACTCATAAATGCTTAATGGACATTAATAGAGAATATGACATGACGTTTCCTCAATTATTACTGTTGCTCTTTAGAGGAATTATTGAGGCACAGTGAAAAACGTACAAGCAGAAAACAGATCAGTGTTTTTTAAGATGTCACGCGATTGATTTATAATTATCATTGATTCGGCAGTGCATGGTCAAAGGGCAGTTGATTAGTTATTGAATTATTGAAATATCTTGTTGAATATTTGTTGAATGTTATACACGATTCTTAAATAATGTGGATTCTTAAAAATATATACGCCTAGAATTGTATTCTTTCTAATATATGTGTATATCTAATATATATATCTTTAAATTCTAATATATGTATAAATATGTATAAAGATACATATTTAATATATTCTAATATATTCTAAATATATTTAATATATTCTAAACAATTATAGGCGAAATTTCTAAAATGTTTTTTTTAATTAGACCGATAAGAATAAATTAAACAAGAAAAAGAATTCTATTTCCTAAGTTCCATTGCAGTATTTTAAGAGGCTTATTAACATCATTATTAAATTGACGGCCAATGTAATTTTTGATGTTATTTCCAGTTTGTAATTGTGTTTTAAATCCGACAAACCGAATTGACATGTAGTTCATAGAAAAATTGAAAAATGCATTTGTAAATTTACATATAAATATATTATTAAATACCGATGTCCGCTTTGACCAAAACTAGGATTCTGTTATTTGATATATGAATTCTAATTTATTTGGAAATTTCCAAAATAATTTTTTAAATTTATTACAGACAAATGCCAGGATTGCAAGTGCGGTGACAATTGCTCGTGCTGCGATTCCGGATGCAAGGGTAATATTTATATTAGAAATTTTAATAGTACATTTGGTGCACTCGCTTTTCCTATTGCGCATTTCGCTGTTTGCTCGTCATGCCTTTCTAACGAGTTATTATTTTAATTACCAGTTGCGAGCTGTCGAACTCGTTTTCACAATACTGCATCGGAATGTTTCTTTTCCAAGCAGAATCGACGAACGAGAACGTGCGCCACCTAGTAACTGTACTATTTTTTATTTTCCATCTCGGACAATGACCGGTTAATAACGGCCACCGTCGACGACTGCTAATATCCCTTAACACCGTATATCGCAGTTCCGCGGGACTTGTGGCGCAATTTCGCTGTACGACGCAGTTGCGCGTGATATGTTATTCGAAGCTTCTATGTTATACTTACGGTCATTTCGATCATTATACTTAATGAGTCACGGTTTCCCGGAACACTGCGTTCCTTTTCTGTTTAGTTCTTTCACTCTCGTATGTCTTGTATTTTTCTTCGTCTTTATTTTCACAATTTCCTATTTTACATTATTGACATCACAAAAAGTAGTAATATTTAAAATTTTTATTTGTAAAAAATGAGAAGAGTAGCCAATATTTTTTTAAAGAGTTATTTAAAGCGGCCTATTTATTAAATTTAAATATAAACGGCTGCTTTTATATTTTTTATAGAAAAATTTATATCTTTGCTTTGTGATAGTAATTAATTATATTTTTTTACAGATCAATGTGGCTGCAAGACACAGGGTGGAAAATGTACGTGCAAGCCTTGCACCTGTTAATTAACAATCATGTCAAGGACAGTCCATGTTGGAAGTGATAATCTTTAATGCGCTTAAGTAAATCCAACATGTGCGCAATATTCCAAATACTATCAATGTAAAATTTTATGCTTAGTGAAAATTAGAGATGTGACGCGAATCCTTCGCTTTTTTGTTAAACAATCAATGAATTAATAAAATTCACTTTAAGTACATTGTATGTGTTATATGTTTAATACTTTTCCCATTCTTTTATATGCTAATAGTAATACTGCCATACATTCATATACTGACAGTGTTGTGTGTATAATAAAAGATTTTTTTTAAATAACATTATTTTTGCTGAGAGTAATATGAAATTTTAACAATCAATTCTATCGAAAATATTTCTTCAAATTTAGAAAATAAAACAATACATTCTAAATCTAATCTCAGTTTTTAGAAATTGAAAGATAAATTTTTTTTTAGCAATAAATTCAATTTTTAGCCCACGAATTTCAGTTTTTATATTTAAAAGTTCTAAGTTTAAAATTGAAAAAGATATATAATCAAATATAGATTTGATTGCTAAAGATTAAACAGATCCAATTATAAATAAAATCTCTTTTTATGATAACTCGCGAGATAGTGTGTATCGTTATCTACAATTCTATTGATATTTACGATTTGTAAGATGTAACTCGTGTCTCAAAAACATAGATATTTCATAGCAAATATTTTTGTAATCAAGCTCATTGTATTACAATGATTTCTATTAATTTTTATTAAAACTGATTGTGAAACATAATTTTCTCATCTATTTTCCTTCTGATCCTTTGAATTTTATTTCTACGTTAAATAATTCCTATGATTAGAGACCGTTATTTCATATTTTAATTAAATTTATAATACCTGTGAAACAATTGTATTTATTAGACGAATTCTTGAAATTAATTCGGTATTTTCTTCTATTTTTTAAAATATATTCTTGAATTTTAATTATTAAAGGAATATTTCTAATTGTTTAACATCTAATTGCACTCGTTCGTTTCCTCTTTCTTTTTCTGAAAACCGAGATCTGTTCTTTTTAATTGAACTTCTTTGTGTGTGCATATTATAGTTTATCTTTCCTCTTTTTCTTTTCTGTGTGAAAAAAATAAGTAAGACGAACCGTACAAAAAATTGAATTAAAACGAACGGGTCTCAGGTGTACATCATATTAATCGTAAGTGCAATGGCAATAAAACGATGAAGATAGAATGACACAAATAGCGGTAATAGCATACTATTGCCGTTGGGGGATTTTCTAAATTTAAAGGTTTTCTTTTACCACAAAGGATTTTTTTGGGGGACTTTGGGAGGAAAATACAAATAAATATCAATCTAAATCATAGCGTAAAGTATACACGGTGGGCCATTTTAATCGATCCACCTGAATTTCTCGGAATCTAAGCGAGATAGAGAAAAATGGTCCAGACAAAAGTTGAAGGGGACAGAGGGGGTCACCTAATGGTGCCAAGGACCTTGATCTTGAACTCGATTTTCAAGGTTATTTGAAGGTCATGATCATTTTTTTAAATGGAATTATATGAATTTTTTTACATAATATGATTCCTCTAATTATTCTGCATATAAAAGTATTAAGGTAG